CAGTTGCCTGGATCGTAGGGCTCTGTTTACCTGATTATGAGGAAAAGCTTCTCTATGTTGCCACCATTCTGGAACCTCATGTGGCCTCTGTCGCCATTCTGGAACATGGTGCTCTGCAGCTTTCTCCTCTGAGCAAATTCTTTTATCTTTCTGTTTCTCTTCAGCAATCAAAGTCTCAACTCTGTCTTTACAATGCACAGCGTTCCTGGAATTTTCCTTCTGGCCAAACTCACAGTATTGCAAATTATCCTGCTGGGCTCTTTGCTCTTGATTTGCAACATAAAGCTGGCTAAAAGCCCCCAGCAATAGCTGTGCCACAGCCTCAATATTTGATTGCTTGGAAATTTCCTTTTATAGATTGATCAGTCCATTGTCCTTCGATTCAGTCTCAGGCAAAGTCTGGGCATGAACAAAATGCAGACAAACTTTCTGCTGAGCCATAACATACATCATGGGGAGTCCAACAACCAATGCAATCCTTCCCAGCAGAAACCTCCCAAGGCTGGTCTTTACCATGAGGCTTCCCATCAACACTCTGGTCTCCTAAGCTCTGACCAGAATCTCCACTACAGAACCTGCTAGGCTGCTCCAGCTCTATGCATCTAGGCAACATGTCTGAACCTTTCCAAACTCTGCCCACAAGCCATTTCCAAAGCCTCTTGAAAAACATATTCAGGTATAGTCACAGCAAACGACCCCACTCCTCAGTACCAAATTCTGTCTTAGTTGCTTTTTACTCATTGCTGAGACAAAATACCTGAAGCCCAAAGTTGGGAAAGGAAAGGTTTATTTCTTACAGGTTTTGGAGGTTTCAGTCCATACTCAGTTGGCTCCAAGGCAGGCTGGCATGGCGGGGCCTCAGTTCATGGAGGCTGCAAACAGCAAGGCCAAAAACTGGCAAAAGAGCAAGACACACTTTCTTCCTGCCATTACATACTTCCTGGCTCCACCCCTATGTGGGTGTAGCACTGACACCATCAATCCAAGCACTAGACAGTGATCCAATCACAAATGTACAATGCAAACTCACGAGGCCTGGGGGCCACAGACATAAATCATGACAGTACGGGAAGGATAGAAGCAGACAAGAGAAGAAAAGGGAACTAGAGGAGGAGAGATTTTATGTACATGTACCAGTTCTCCAATAAGACTATAAAGTGCATGTACTACAAATATGTACTAATTCACATGGGCGTGTCCATGGACCCTGTAGTCACCACTGATGTGAATTAAAATTCGGATTACTTTTCATAGCTTAACAATAAATTAGAAACAGCTTGCAACAGTATCACAGTAGGGTATTTGGGTTTCTCTGTAATTTTTCTCTTTTGAGATTTATGAAATTGTCTCTAAGGATCACATGGCTGAGGTGTGGCCTCTTGGGGGCAGGATTTCATAAAGGCTCTGAATCTGGCATTTCTTGTTTACAAGAATTCTTGCCACGAATGAATATGGTGGTTGTTTAGTCACAGATTTGCAAAAGGAAAGCCCCTGGTTGGCTCTAATGGAAAGAGCAGATGTCACAGGAACAAAGTGGCAAACGTCAAAGTGAGGGCTTTACAGGCAGTGCTTATTTTTACTTCTTCCCACTGTTAGAGAGTTAGACAAGAGAGGGCTTGGAGTAGAGTTCAGTGGCAGAGCATTTGCCTTTTATCCTTGTGACCCTGGGTTTGATCTCCAACATAGGGAAAAACAATTAGAGACAGAAAAGAAATTCATATAACCACTGTGAAAATTATAAACAATCATGAAATGTAGACGAAATGTGCTTAAAAACATTAAACTACCCAATAAAAACAGAAATTGATATTATAGATCCCAAGGACCATAAATAAAAAATACAAATAGTTTGGGCAGAAAAATTGTTCTGAAATGTTTGGATGCCAGAGATTTTTAAAGTTGATCTCTTTTGGCCTGGTAAGATTTTATGCATTTTTGTTGTTCCAGCCAAGAGGTCTAAGGATTAGTGGATGTTTCTGCCAGCCTGGAGCTCATGTGGTGGAAGGAATGTACTCATATGACAGTAAAAAAGAAAATGCATAAACACAAAGGGCTTCTTTTCAAGAAAAGGATAAAAATTAACTGTCATTGTGATCTGGGCCCACAGCTTCAAATAATGGTAATTTATGTAAATTAGAAATTTCTGTTTATGCATCCAACATGTGGCTCTTTTCATTGCAGAATCGCTTCTCTAATACTACCTGGTTTTTAGAATGCCTAACTAGTTGGGGCTTAATTAATTGCTCATAACAGAATCTGAGGCCTGAATTCTAAATTGATCCATTTGGAGAAATATAGCTCTTTATTAAAATAATAATGAATTAGGAGCTCTCTGCAATGTTTGGATACTAATTTTACAAGGACTATTAACATATCAGCTTTTGAAAAACCTACACATTTTACTGATAAAAAGGAACATGTATTCATCAAACAGCTCAGAAACAGTCAAAGGAGAAAAGGAAGACAACAGAAAGTTCTTCTGTTTCCAGTGTTTATTAAATATTTGCCTGAAGCCAAAATAATGCTAGTTAAATGAGGGGATTATAAGTCCTATTAATGATGGACTTTTCATTATGTGGATATGCTTTTGCAATTTTCCTGGATTTCTGCTCCCGGGTCACATACTAAGTCAATAGTAGTTATAAACCTCTCAGTACTGTGATCAATACCTCTGGCTGACGTAATCTAGACCTTTGGTGTAATTTACAACAAAGGACAGTTTGGGCAAGCCTATTTTATTACTTTCAATTCACCAGCTGAAATATTTCACTGCTCAATGACGGAAGTTCTCTCTAGTGTTTTGATAGATAAGGAATTGAGATAGTCCTGAAGGAAGAGGTCAAGTATGAAAAGGGAAAACAGCAATAAATGTTTCTTCCTTTGGTGAACAGTATTTGCATATCTTTCAATGTCATGAAATTGTCTAAAGTCCCACAAGAATGAATTGTGTCTGGATAGCTACCTGTGTGTGTCATGAGGATGGATGAGAATTGCACATACAGTGTGTACCTGGAACAATACAGTACTCACTCTACTTTGGTCTGATCTGAATTATCATTAACCACTTAGTTGAGCAAAATATGCAACAATAATCTCTAGAAACCTATTCTGAGGACTGTGACTCCTATCACTGCAATTCATCCAACAATCCTGAAATTACTTTGTTCTTTTCCACGCTGAGTGTATATTCTAAGTGTGAAGACCTAAAGAAGGAAAAAGGAATCTGTCATTGTAAAATCCCATTAAAGAAATAGTAGAGAGTTCAGAGAAAGAAGAGACGAAGATAGTTTCAGGTGTCCTTCACTTTGGGCAAAGGTTCCACTGTCCTGTCACTGTCTTGTTATATTTCCCATCTGCCGCCATCACTGTGTTATTAATCAGTGCTCCAGGATGAGATGGACTCACAGCTGTTTCTACCATATAGCCAGTATAAGGAGAATGAAGTAAGGATTTGGATTTAAACATCTGTTAGGTTGCTTTCAGACCAACCACAGACCACCTTTATGTATATTTTTATTGTCCTAAAGATGAGAATATTGCAATCATGAGGAAGTATAAAGTGCCAGGAGGATTTTCACACTTATTTTTATTCTTTAGACAACTTTCTAAGTAAGCAGGTTTAGTAAGATTCGATGTGTTGTCCTTGATAGATCTAGCTTGGTGACTTTGCCCACAGGCCTGTACCTTTAGTATATTTAACCTGTGATGCTTCTTTAAGACATTTTATAGACAAAAGAAATGTATAGTTCTAACATTCACTAATTGTGTGATTTTGTGACTCTTCCATTAAAAACTTGGAGAAGGATAACTTTATTTCCCCATTGCTTAGCAGTGCCTCACATACATAAGTGCTCGGTAATTATTTGAGTTAAACAAACCAATCAATTTCCTTGATATAATACTCTTAATTCCTGAGCTAAAGTGGAAAGAACAATGCAAAATTTCAGCAAACATGTATTTTTATAACTTTTATATCACATCCTCTTATTTAAGGATGGAATTTGTCCAGTAGACCAGAAAGTAAAAATATGCCTCCATCAGAAAGTGAAAATTAATTTCCACAGGCCATTAAGAATTCAAAACATCAAATGAAATTTTGCAGAGGAATATCTCTTTATTTCTTTCTCCCTAGAAAGCCTCCAGTTCCCTGCCCTGGATCGGTGTCAGTCACTACACCGGCAATAACCTTTTTTCTGTGGTGGTTTAAAATGATTCAGGGTTTGAAGCTGCTATTCAGGTTTAGCAATTATTTCAGAATTAACCAAGTGTTAGATACTAGGGATATAAAGACAGCAGGTTCTTACCTTTATGGGGCTTAGAGTGATTGAGATTTCTGTGATAATGCATCTGTTATCTGGGAGGGAGAGGGGCTGGGGACAGAGACAAATTTTCTACCAGTAAAGAATCAGCCCCTACTATATTTTTATAGGCATTGTTTAATAATCAGATTTCCCCAAAGTGCTATATAAGAATATGTATGGTGACAACCTGAAAGTTACTCCCCTGGTATGGACCAGAGGGTGAACGTGCATGGCGATGGGAGGGATAGCTTTGTGGAGGCAAGGCCGCCGCTCTTCACCCTCACTCCCCAGGTATCCACCTCTGTGGCCACAGAGAGGTTGCAGCACCACTGTCATATCTTTTGCTCCAAGGGCCACTGTCATATCTTCTGTGCCACTGTCATCTTGTGCTTCTGTCACATGTGACTGGAGAATAGCACTATGCTAAAATAGGATCCAGTAGCTCCAGCAGTTGAAATATTGTCAGAAATTGCAGGTAATTCTGCAACTCAGTGCAAACCACTCTGAGAAAGACAGAGACTCTTAAAAATTAAAGTAGTTCTTTTAGCTATGGTCCATGCATTAACTTGACTAAGCTTCTCATCTATGGATGAGCTTGATGTAGCCTGGTGAAATCAATCTCCAGGCTTTCCTGTCATTATGTAAATAAGTAGGTAATCAACCATGGCTAGTAATAAACTGCTTTCAGTACACAAGATGTTACATCACTTTAATTGTATGATTTATTAGAACAACTATTAACATACAAAGTACCATTCAGCTGAATTGCAGGTATAGGCAGTGACAAGTATTTAATTCTTAGAAGAATCACTTATTCCCACAATCTTTTCAGACACATTAACCTAAGGACAATATCATAAATAGCAAACACGATTTCCACATCGCAGTTTTCTCAAGTACGTATATACAGGTGTGCAGCCCTGTTGGCAGGTTGTTACCACAAGCTCTCTCTGTTCTTAATGACATACATTCTCTTGGCCTCTTCAGGGTTACTTCTCTCTGCAGAGCAGATATTTTTAGTAATACTGGTGAATTAGTATTACTCTTCCTATAGATGAAGTAGTAATATCTGAACTGAGTATCTCTGCAGCACCATTCCTTGTCTTCTGGCAAGTCCCACCATTGTCAAGGGGCTTTTGGTTTCAATCATTTTCCTGCAACTATAGCCAAACTCAACTATTGGGTTTCAGTGTAACTCACTCTTGTTGTAGCTTGTTCTGTTAACCCTTGGCTTCAAGTCCTGTGATGTAATGAGGGTGGGGTGTACTAGCAATCAGTACGTTTCCTTATTACTATTTACAGCCATTTACAATCATGCTGATATTAATCTGAGTCTGACATACCTTTTCTGAAATGTTCACAGTGCAGTATTTTATGGCCAACAAAATTTTTTTATACCATTAAAAATAAACATTTTTATAAAAATATATTTTCAATTTTCACATTGACAAAACCAGCTAGAGTAACCTATGCCAATGCACTATACAGTAGTCAGCACAAATTCCACAGAAAAAAACTCACAAAAGTCCTGCCCACAATAACTATTCATCCAAGTGAAATAATGAGGATTTTCAATTGCCTTGTTCACCTGTTTGTTGATTTTTAGAATGTATTTCGCTTAATGCAAAACAAGTCATAATGTAAAACTGGACTCCCCAAAAGATTTTTCCCAACAGTTTGTGAAGTGGGAAGCTGCCACCTGAGAAAGAAGTTAATATTTCCAGTCCACTGAGTTTCTCTTTGTTCTGTATATGAGCCATGACTGGAAGCAAGGAACCTTTTAGTCAATTGTATTTTGCTTTAAAAACATACTGACTTACCTTTAAAAATATTTATCATCACAAATTACTTGTCTATTTTCAGAGGTGTCATAAAAATACAGATACAATTTTCAAATGTCCACATTCATTACATCAGAATCGCATCATTCTCAAACACTTGGTTTTAAAATGACAACTAAATAGTTCATTGTGACTAAGCTATTTTATGAAAATTTCTTAACATTCTCTACATACAATATATAAATATCCTGGCTAATTTGTAAACACATCTTGTGTCATGCTACTTTGAAACTTGACTGCACTGCCTATGGATATTTTTCAATCAAAGGAATGTGTATATGACAATTTAAAAGGGAATGTTTGCCTACAGGGAAATGATAACATCCGTAATAAAAAGCTCTGAAAACAGTGAAATTCTTAGGGAGTGGCGTGGTCCTGGGGCTGCTTTGTCTGTCCATCTCTTCGGAATTTTCTATGAGTAAAATTCACTGCATCAGTTTCTCCTGGAAAATCAAGTGGGACTCTGAGTTTTAAAACTTGCCACTCAGAATTCCAGTTTGGATTCCAATGTTACAGGAGTGTTGTTATAGCTGCAGGATTGTCCATGGTCACTGGCCTGTGGAAACAAGTCTGTTTCTCATTTTTGTCAGAGGACAAATTCCTTGAAGCCAGTGATTTAAATAACAATATAAAGTCCAGTACTGGTGTAATGTTGATAAGCAGAAGGTGTCTGGTGGCCTTTTGGAGGCCAAATGCTGAAAATGTGGACTGTTGTCTGGGCTAGTACTATGATGTTTCTCAGAAAGAGCAGGTGGAGTTCATCACGTGTCCATGTCACCATCGATGTTTTCTTGTGATGATAACAGAGAAGGATATGGAGCAACACATTTTACATTGACGTAAGTAGCATTCACATGGACGTAATGCTCCCCGATGAAAGTGGAAAAGATGGCTGATATCTTGGAGACCAGCTCGGAAAAGGATGGGCGCATTTCAGCTTTGGGGTGCCAGCATTTTAACATCACTTCGTACCTGTTTCAGAAAGAAATGCTGTGAGAGACCCTTTGAATGCAAATACATCTGTCAAGGAAATGAACATAAGAGACCAGGAGATCCTGTGGGGATTCCTACTTACAAGGGATCTGGACAGTATTCGGGCTGTAAGAGCCTTCTGCCTTGTAGCAAGTAAACCGTGATATCAAAGGTGTTCACATCAGGATAAGGGGGGGCTCCTCTTGTCATCAGTTCCCAGAGGAGCACGCCAAAGGACCACTAGCAAACAAGAAAAAGGAGAACTGAGGTGAGAGAAGTGTGGCCACACATGTGAAAGGCAGTCAGTAGGTCCTAGTAATTAAACTTTGCACAGCGTATTCAATATTATTGCTGTTGGGGTGATAATTTCCTTAAAGGTGATTACATTTCATGACACATGGTATACATTTCTTGATCTATTTAAAACAGGACCAGATATCATCTAGAGTACAAGTAAATGCAGTTTTCCAAAAGAATATCTGAGGTCATACGATGATTAAAATTTCATCTATGGTTTGTACAGTATGCTTTCTAAGCTCTTTCTTACAGGATCAAAGCATCAATATGTTTCTATTCTCTCTTTCAATTATCTCTCCTACAATGTTAGCTATTAGTAAAAGAGGAAGATATAGAAAGTTTTCCAGTGCTTAAATTTGTAGGATTTCAAAATGAATATAACAATTCTACTTTAAAATTTTAAAAAAAATTTTAAGTAGAATAAAACTGAACAAAATAAAACAATAAAGCCTATCAAAACAGAACACTGAAAGTGATATAGGACTTTAAATCAAGATAATAGGAAATCAACAATGGCTACCATAATGTCTTGTTTTCTCCAAAATAGCTGCCCATTTGTTTTTAGTATTATTGGACATAATAACAACAAATGAAATGAAACAGAATAAAACCAACCAAAACAAAACAATGGAAGCATTACAAGACTTCATAACCCAGAAATAGGAAATCAACATTGGCTATCATAATAATCTTGCTATCTTCAAAATAGCTGCCTATACCATCAGACATAATAACATCAAACAAAACAAGATAGAATGAAACCAAGCCTAACAAAACAATGAAAATTATATAGGAATTCAAAACAAGATAACAGGAAATTAACAGTGTTTACCACCTTCTCTTTTTAGAGATTTCCTACCCTATCACTTTCACAATATTTATTGCACATTTTGGATCCCACTAACTCCTTCAGCTTTTTATGCTAGGGAGATAAAAAATGATGCTCACTCATATGAATCTGAACCATTTCACACATTAGCATGATCTCAAGTTGCATCCAGTTACCTACAAAAGCCTCAAGATTATCCCTTATAGCTGAGTAGCTTCTCATTGTATAAAAATACCATATTTTTCTTTTCCATTCTGTGGTTGATGGGCAAGCTACCCCTGCTTTTTGCAGATTACCTATTACATGGAACAGTTTTTCTTCTTTGAATTTCAGTTTGTGAACTTCCTTTTGAGTTAAATGTGTTTCTTGTATACAGTATATTGATGGATCTTGTTTCTTGATGCACTCTCCCTGTGTTTCTTTTTATTGGTGAATTGAGGCCATCCACATTGATCGTTACAACTGGCATGCATTGGCTTGTTTCTGTCATGCTATTCTGCTGTTGGCCCCCACTTTTCCTCTCAGTTCAACTGCCTGCCCTGTTTGGCAATTCCCCTCTGCCACTGTTCCTGGAACCGTAGTCATCTTTTCTCTCTCTCTAGAATATCCTTCAGCACACTTTGTAGGGTTGGTTTGTTGGTGATGAATTCCTTCAGTTGTTCTTTATCATGGAAGTATTTTATTTTTCCATCAATTTTGAAAGATAGTTTTTCAGGGTACATCGATCTGGGTTGGAAGTTGTTTTCTTTCAAGATTTGAAACACTTCATTCCAAGATCTTCTTGACTTGATGGTTTGTGTTGAGAAGTCTGCTGTGACTCTGATGGGTTTTCCTTTATAGATGCTCGGTTTCTTTTCCATAATAGTCTTTAATATTCTGTTCTTGTGCTAAATTTCTGGGATATTGATTACTGTATGTCTGGGTATAGATTTATTTTGGTTATGGCTGGTTGGAGTTCTACATGTGTTGTTTATCTGTATGCCAGATCCTTTTGCCATGTTTGGGAAGTTTTCTGCTTTTACTTCTGTAAACAGTTTTTTTTTTAATGTTATTTGTGTTGACTCCTGCTTTTTCATTGAAACCTATAATTCTTAACTTATTTTCCTTTGTGTTCTCTTGCAGTTGTTGACTTGTTATTTCCTGGTTCCCTGCTATTTTTAAGAGGTCTTTCCTTTCATGATTGCAAGCTGCAATCCGTTCTTCAAGGTATGAAAGTCTACCTTCAGTCTTTTTCAAGTAGTTTTGCCAGCTTTTGATCGAGTTATTAATTTCCTGGAAATCTCTGAATTTTGCATGCATTGTAATTCCTTCTGTACTGTTCAATTAAGGTTTTAATCATCTTCTTATGCTCCCTTTTTTGTTTGTTTTTAGTATCAGGGATCAAAGTTACAATCTTAAGCTTGCCAGGCTCCTCTTTTTTTTTCGTGTGTCTTCTTTAGATACATTCAGCAATTCTTTCATTATGTGATTTCTTCTTTTACCTGAGACGTTATTTCTGATCTGATACTTTTACAACTTCATGAAGTTGTTTCTTTACTTCAGTTGCTATCCTTTCAGATTTCAGGTGTGTCACTTCCATTTTATTCCATGTCTGTATCTCTCAGTCTTGTTCTGTGTGGGCTGGAGGTCTGAATTGCCTTTTGTTCCTTTGTCTTGACATTTTCCTAGGTTCCTCCTGATAAGTCACAGGCTGAGTGATACCTTCCTGGTCACTTTCAGGCTAAGAAGCATATGGGGGAGAACATGACCCCTGAAAATAATGAAACTTGGAGAGGAAAGAGAATCCAGATTAGATAGGTGGAGTAGAGAAACATAAAACTGAGATGTGATGTAACTTATACTCAGCAAGAAGGAGAATAATGCATGCCTTTGAACACTGTGATCGAAAGAAAAAACTAGGTAAATATGGTTGTTGCTGATATAAACCTTTATAAATGGCTCTTTTCCTTTGCTCAAGTGCATGAGCCCTTTAAGGCCACTGAATCCTTTGATCCAAATGACTATTTAATTTTGCCCTTCAAAACTGAAGTTTCCAAAGGCTGGGAATGTGGCTTAGTGGCAGAGTGCCTGCCTAGCATGTACAAAGCCCTGAGTTCAATTCTTAGTTAGTACCACAATAAACAAAACAAAACCAAATCCCCAAAATTGAATTTTTGACATCCTGAAAATCCTACAAGTCATTCTGGTAACTTTATTTTGTTAACCTTTGAGTTCCAGAATTTTCATTAAAATTTAAATCAAATTGACAGGTAATTACTGACCTTTGATCATGTATAGTAGGTTACTATCCAAATTACCGGATAGGTACCAAGACTGATTAAAAGAACTGTACAGATAACTGTCACACAGAACAATAAGATAATGACTACAATATAGATCAATAAAACAAAGAGGTGGAAATGTTGTAAAGTCAAAGAGATAAAAGTGGGTTACTAAAAAGGCTTCAGGAAAAGTGACAGGAAAGCAGGCCCTGAGGAACAGGGAGAATTTGTTTTATAGGTGCGTGAAGCACAAAAACAGAAAGCATTCTGGACAGAGGAAGTGGCCCCAGGGCTCTTATGTATTTTCACTGAATCACAAGTAGCAGAGGTCAGGCTGTCAGATGTGTAGAATAGGGAATAGAATTACAGGTGAATAAGGTTGAAAGGGAACTGTACAGTGGAGGCTTCTAAATGTAGAAACTGGGCTAAACTAAAATTGATGGGCATGATTTGAGTCATGCTGCTGGACACTGTACCTGTAAACACCATGAGAAATGTGACAGTGCACTGGCAACATGGAAGCCTGTGGGGCTGTACCCTAACTTGCAGGATGGAAAAGCGAATTTGTCATGTGAGGTTTGTGTGGACATCATAACTGTTATAAACCACTGTCTTATTTAATCTGTATAGTGGTTACATCTGATTACATCCCTGTAATGTAACTTCTTTTGCAGATGACAGGCTCAGCAGCACTGAGATCAAGGCCTCCTAACAAGAGCCTTAGGCTATGTATTGGTCTGTCTGAGACAAATTTATAAAAAGGGAAGCTGAGTTAGTTAAATTCCTGAGGAATTATAGGATTTGGGCAATAACTGAGTATCAGTGGAGAGCTGGAGGACTCATGGAACGGAAGTTAGAGGGAAGGAGCTTTCAGGAAAACACTGTAATGGACTACACCAATATATGTGCAAAACACATGTCTGATAACACAGATTGTACCTAGATAAATAACTAATTATTCATGAGTTTAAAAAGTATGAGCAAATAAAAACCTCGTAAAAATTGTAAAATCTAACAAAGAAAAAGATATGTAATCTGAGTACACACTTCACAAAAGGAGATATAAGCACATAAATAAAATAAGCACATAAAAGGTACCTAACATCATGAGTCATTATAAAGAAAATGAGATACCACCATCATCATTAGAATGGCCAAATCCCCCAAATGTGCTGATGTAGACACCGAATGGAATGAATGGGGACATTGAGACCATAGCTACTTTGAAAAACTTGCCAGTTTCTCATAAAGTTGAACATATACTTATTTTACATCTTCAAAATCTTAACTTTTACGTATTTACCTACAGGAGTAAAAAAATATGTTCATGCAAAACTTTTAAGCAAACGTTTCAGCAGTTATAGTTATACAGAAGTAAGTGCTTAAAAATGAAAGAACCCAATTATCCTTCAACTGGTGAATGAATAAAGTAAATGTAGTGTATTTTCACAATGGGATTCTCAGAAATAAAAGGAAATGAATTGCTTCACTAAGGAAAGTTGTATTGAATTCCTCAAAAAAAATTAAAAATAAAACTATCATAGCATCCAGCAATCCTTTTTCTGCGTAAATATACAAAAACCACAAACAAAAAACTAAAAACAGAGTATCTCAAAAAATCTGTACATGTTCACAGTAGGACTATTCACCAAAGTCAAAGGTGCAGGAAACCTAAATGTCCATTATCAAATGAATGGATAATGAAAATCTGATTTATACATATAAGAGAATATTATTCAGGCTTTAATAACAAAGGAAATTTTGTCATGCTCTACAGCTAAGAAGCTATAAGAGAAAAAAGTCACAAAAGACTAATACTTCACAAAGCAACTTACAAAGTACCTAAAGAAGTT